AACCGAGGCCCCAAGAGGTCAGGGACTGTCCCCACTGAAGCCAGAAGCCCTTTGCTGCTGTAGAGCTCCGCTCACAGATGCCACCTTCTGAGAACAACATCCCGCTGGAGGACTGCAGGCTCCTGCAAAGGGAGGAATGGGAGACCTGAAAACTGAACCCCAGAGGCCCACGTGAACGGGGCACAGAAGTCAGGTGAACATCCCGAGAGGCCAATGCTATGACCTCAGGACCTACAGATCACCTGTGTGTCCATTCTTAGCGGCCTCCCTTTCTTTCCACTCCTCCCTTTCTTTAAGTAGCTGAAGTATGGAATTGGAAGATTCTACATATACACATTTTCCCTATCCACCGAAGATATATGTTCTCTGTTTTAAACTTTTAAACCAGGTGAGTTTAATCTTTTATGTCTTTTGAAAACAAAACAAAAAACCAATTAGGTCGCTCTGTAACTTTCAGGCTGTGGACCCTGGGCAAGTTACCTACTGCTCTGTGCCTCATCTGTAAAATGGGGATAATAATAGCACCTACTGTGAAGATGAAATAAGTTGATACATATAAACGGCTTTATGTTTTTTCACCTTCTTTTAACAACTTTATTGAAATAGTAATTAACATACCTTGACGTTTACCCTTTTAAAGTGTACAATTCAGTGGTTTAGTAGATTTACAGAGCTGTGAACCCATCACCATGATCTAATTCTAGAACATTTCATCTCCCCAAAAAGAACTCATTAGCAGTCACTCCCCACCTTCCAACACCCCCTGCCCTTGGCAACCAGTAATCTACTTTCTGTTTCTATGGATTTGCCTATGCTGGACATTTTATATAAATGGGATCATACAACACCTGGTCTTTTGTGACTAGCTTCTTTTACTTAGCATAATGGGTTTAAGATATCAATATTCATCTGTGTTGTATCGGGTGTCAATGCTACATTTCTCTCTTTTTTGAGTGTGTATATGTGTGTGTATGTACATAATTTATTTTTCTTCTTGGTCCTTAAAATTTTTTCTAAAATTTCTTTTTTCCCCAACTTTATTGAGGTATACTTACAAATAAAAATTGTACATGCTTAAGGTGTACACTGTGATGATTTGATATACATTGTGAAATGATGACTACAATCAAGGTAATTAGCACATCCATCACTTCACATAGTTTACCTTTTCTGTGTGTGGTGAGAATACTTAAGATCTACTCTCCTAGCAAATTTCCAGTATACAAGTATTTTAAACTATTTTTAACTATAGTCACCACTGTGTACATTAGATCCCCAGAATTTATTTATCTTATAATTGAAATGGTCAACAGGCCCATGAAAAGGTACTCAACATCAGTAACCATCAGGGAAACGCAAATCAAAACCACAATGAGATATCACAGACACCTGTTAGAATGGCTATTATCAAAAAGATAAGAGAATTCCCTGGCAGTTCAGTGGTTAAGACTCCACATTTTCAATGCTGGGGCCCGGGGTTCAATCCCTGGTTGGGGAACTATGATCCCTGCAAGCTGAGTGGCTCGGGCAAGAAAAACAAAAACAAAAAACCAAAAACATAAGAGATAACAAGCGTTAGTGAGGATGTGGAGAAAGGGAACCCTTGTGCACTGATTGGTAGGAAAGTAAGTTGGTACAGCCATTGTGGAAAATAGTATGGAGGTTCCTCAAAAAATTAAGTAGAACTACTGTATGATCCAGCAACCCCACGGTTGGGTATATATCCAAAGAAAATGAAATCAGGATCTCGAAGAGTATCTGCATCCCCACATTCATTGAAACATTATTCAAAATAGCCAAGATATGAAAACAACCTAAGTATCCACTGACAGATGAATGGATAAAGAAGGTGTGGGATATGTATACAACGAGATATTATTCAGCCATAAAAAAGAAGGAAATCCGGGAGGACGTTTTATTATGCTAAGTGAAATAAGCTGGACACAGAAAGACACTACGCTCTCACTTATATGTGGAATCTAAAAATGTCAAAGTCACAGAAGCAGAGAGTAGAATGGTGGTTGCTAGGGGCTGGGGGGTAGAGCAAGTGAGGAGATGCTGGTCCAAGGATAAACAGCTTTAAAATGTGCATGGTGCCTGAACGTGCTGAGGGTTTGCACATCATGAAGTGACTCTTCTCACCCTCCCTGTGGGTGCGTGGGCCTCAATTTTAAATCTTCCACCCTATAGTAGAAGCTCTGCCTGTACTTATTTCTGTGATTACTTCAGGACCACCTCTCACGCAGAGTCTGCAGTGGTTAAGCAGGACTTTTCCGTTGAGTAGGCATTAGTGATGATTTACCACAGAGAGGAAGGGAGTGAAGAACTCAAGACAAGCTGGCACCTGGCTCCCAGAGTGCTGGAAGGTCCTGACAGAGATCTGGGTCTTGAACCTTCTCCTGTGTCAGGTGATGCTGACTCTGGAGCAGTAGATCCACACCTGCACTTAACTTTGGGGAACAGATAATTGCTGTCTTAGTCAGCTTGGGCTGCTATAACAAAAATACCATAGACTGGGCAGCTTAAACAACAGACATTTATTTCTCACAGTTTCTGAGGCTGGGAAGTCTGAGATCAGGGTGCCTGCCTGGTCAGGTTCTAGTGAGGGTCTCTTCCTGGTTTGCAGGTGCCATCTGTTTGTGTGTCTAGTCTCTTTTCCTTCTTATAAGGACACTAACCCCCTCATGGGGGCCCCACCCTCATGACTTCATCTAAACCTAATTGCCTTCTAAAGGTACCACCTCTTAATACCATCCCGTTGGGGATTATGATTTCAACATAAGAATTTGAGGGAGACACAAACACACAGAACATAAGAACTGCTACTTGACTGATAACAATCACCTGTCTCCCTGTCTTTTTTATTGTGTTTATTTGATACCAGTCTGTCTTCCTTCCAGGTGTTCAGCTGCGTGAGGGATGGGGGCTGCCTTGAACCTACTGCTCCTGGTAATTTCAGAGTCTGTTGGGGAAAAAAATGAGCCAAACAGCAAGTCTGGACTTTCCTTTTTGAAAATGTATTCATTGGTAGAAACTCTTCAAGTTGTCTCAGAAAACTGTTTTTATTCAAACATACTGGACACACTTAAAAATACACTGAGACTAGATGGAAATTGTTTAATGAAAAAAAATTTTGGTTTCAATGTTTGATGATGTGCAGTCACTCTCACAACTCTGTAATTTATGTGACAATAATCACAGAAAACATCCTGCTTAGGTTTACAAATAGTTAAACAGATAACCCATTTCTGAATTTGACACCGTTAACACATAAAGGATTTTTTTTTCTTTTTGGGTGGTGACTGGTAGCTTGTGGGATTTTAAGGTGGTTTTTTTTTTTTTGCCGTACGCGGGCCTCTCACTGTTGTGGCCTCTCCCGTTGCAGAGCACAGGCTCCGGACGCGCAGGCTCAGCGGCCATGGCTCACGGGCCCAGCCGCTCCGCGGCACGTGGGATCCTCCCGGACCGGGGCACGAACCCACGTCCCCTGCACCAGCAGGCGGACTCCCAACCACCGCGCCACCAGGGAAGCCCGCTTGTGGGATTTTAGTTCCCCATCCAGGGAATGAATCCGGGCCCTGGCAGTGAAAACGCAAATCCTAACCACTGGGCCGCCAGAGAATTCCCCATAACGGATTTTATTTTATTTTTTAAATTTTATTTATTTGGCTGTATTGGGTCTTAGTTGCGGCATGCAGGATCTTTGTTGCGGCATGAGGGATCTTTCGTTGCGGAGCACGGACTTCTCTCTAGTTGTGGTGTGTGGGCTCCAGAGTGCACAGGTGGGCTTCTCTCTAGTTGTGGCACAAAGGCTCAGTAGTTGCAGCACACGGGCTTAGTTGCCCCCTGGCAAGTGGGATCTTAGTTCCCCGACCAGGGATATGAACCCATGTTCCCTGCGTTGGAAGGCGGATTCTTAACCACTGGACCACCAGGGAAGTCCCCCCATAAGGGATTTAAAAAAGTAGAATAACAATACATTTCAAGAAAACAAGCTGTTTTCTTATTACATTTCTTGAGAGCAACACTCATCTCAAGCCATTGACGCTCTCACAACAGACGATGGAACAGCAAGGCACTACAGAGATCAATGTCGAAGAAGCCCTGGGGTGAGGCTAACGGAGACTCAGCCCAAATCAACAGCGTCCACAGTTGCTTGCCTAGGAGGAAGTTTGTCCTTTGGGAATTCTAGTGGGAAAGAATGACTTATGATAATACCTTTTCACTGGAAAGCCCAACCTCTGTGTGCACCTTGCACAGTACCTTCTGCGGCGGTTCTCGACGCTCTGCTTCGCTCGATCATTTCGGGCAACTGAGTGCGGGAACTAGGTGTAGAAGGGATGCCACAAGAATTACCTGGGCGACAAGGGGACAGCGCCTTTCGTGCCAGCAGGCGAAGACGTGCCGCTGCCCAGAGAGCTTGCTCTGTAGCCAGAAGACTTTTTGATGTCAAGAAAAACCAGACCTGACCCGCCACCCCACAGCGTCAAGGTGAAAGCAGGTGACCGTGTCTACAGCATCTAACGAGAAAAACTCCATCTCCTGACATCTCCCCACCGAAGGGGCAACGAGGGCTGCCTTTGGTGAGGCTGGCATTGAGCGAGGCAGCCCCGCGCTCCGAAGGGACGCGCGCGGTCAAGGGTCCGCAAGGTACCGGGTCCGGCATCCCGCCCCCCGGACTCTCCCGCCGCAGGAGGCGGGTGATGAACTGAGAGGGCTCAGGCCTGGAACCCCGCCTTGGGTGGTGCTGGGGACAGCTCTGGGCCGGGGCTCTTGGAAGTGTTATTACCCGCCCGCCCGCAGGGCAGGGAGGGGATGCCTGCGATTCCTAGGCCCTACCGGAAGCCGCGCCTTCCGCGGAACCTGGGTGTTGCTCGGCGCTCGGCTCTCGACTGCTCGCGCCTGGCGGCAGCTGGGGCTCTGCGCTCGAGGGGTCGAGCCTGGCCCGCCCCGGCAACGGCGCGCGCTCGGCGGCGGCCCTGGGCCTGGGGTACGGGGAGCGGAGGCCGCGGCGGCCGGCGCTGGAATGTCGGGGAGCTCGAAGGTGGTGCTGGGCCTCTCGGTGGTGCTGACGGCGGCCACCGTGGCGGGCGTGCATATGAAGCAGCGGCAGGACCAGCAGGTAGATGTCACGTGCCCGCGCCTTCGGGCCCGCGCGGCGGCGGAGGCCTGGGGCCTGGGGTCCGGCTCCGCGTGGCGCCGCTTCCTCCTCGCCTTTCCTTTCTCTCCTCCCGCCTTTCCCGAGGCGGGGAGACCGCTCCCTGGGGCATCCGGGAAGTGGGGGCGGTGGTCCCCGGTGCTCTGGGCCGGCCCCGCCCCCGCCCCGCGGGTGTCGAAGCGCTGGTGAGGCTTCCCCCGTCTCTCGCTTTCGGGAATTGGGAGATATACTTGTATGGGGGGTGAGTTTTTCTTTCTTAAGGAACAGTTTGCTATGGAAACTAGATTCTGGGGACGATAGAGATAGCGGCCTCCAATTTTTCTCTTCCCGGTGGTTTTATGTGGGGAAACATCCTTGATTTGACCGCTCAGGGGCTTGTCAGTCTTGCTGTGTCTCTCAGTCTTATTTTCTTCCTTTTCCCATCGGCTGACGTTACTGCTGGGCCCCCGTGCGCCACGCTCCGCCCCGGGCGCGTCGGGAAACAGAGATGAATACGCGCAGCTGCTCCGGGGGCGAAGGCCGAGCGCGAGCGGGGGCAGCCGGGGTGTGTGTGTGGGGGGGAGGGGTGCGGTGGAGGCGGTGGAGCCCGGTTGGCCCGGGGTGGACGCAGGCCGCTGGGTAAGTCACTGTAAACAGGCTTGTCTGCGTGGGACCGCGCCGGGTGCTCGGGGTGCAGAGATGCAGCAGGTGAGGCCTTTGTCCCGTGTTCACACTCTGGAAGTCAGAGGAGAGGAAGCCTGTGATGATACAAGATTTTAGGGGAGGGAATGAAATGATTAATGGTGACAGGGCGCGGAAGAGATTAGAGATTGGGATTAATGTAGTCGTTCTAAGGGGTTAGCTTTTGGAACAGAAGCGGGAGATTTTCTTCTCTAAGAAGGAAAAGCTGGTGGCTGGAGAAAATTTGAGATAGGGTAGAAGATGCTATGTCAGATGTAGCTCTGAGGTCAGCGAGCAGGGATTTTCCGAGTGTGGAGTACGGCTGGGTGAAAGCTTGGTTCTGACCTCCAGCTACACGTGCGATTGTTCCTGGAAGTTTTTACCAGGCAGCAGCCTGGGCCCTGCTCCTGACCTATTGAATCAGAATCTCTTGGGGATGCGGATCCCCCTTAGGTACGCTTTAAAAGCGACCCAGGGATTCTAACATGCAGCAGGGTTGAGAACCACTGTCAGAATGGGACAAGTGTAAGGTTTATGTATTTGGAAGTTAGAGGTTGAGATTGACCGGAATAACCTGTGTGTGTTTTATGTCCAATTATTCATTGCGGGGTTACTTTCTAGCAGCGGGAAAGAGGAGGACAAATGTTTGACACAGTGGGTGTGTTGGAAGGTTCAAGGAAGCAAGAACTAAAACGATGACTGTTGTCCCCCATTGTTTCCTGACTGACTGCCACATACCAGGCGCTGTTCTAAGCACTTTACGTACATCAGCCTTGATCATCACAGGAGCCCAACAAAACCAGCAGTGAGTACTACAGGAGGAGCCGCGTTCTAGGTGTTAGAGTTGTGATGGTGAAGAGGTCTCGGTGCTTAGTAAGGTAGTCAAGTGGAAGTTGCAGGAGGGATGTGCGAGGCAGTAGGCACAGACTTTGAAACCTGGAGGAAACTAGCGAATGCTGGATGGAGAGCAAGATCCCAAGCCGAGTGCTAAAGTCCCTGAGAAAGGAGGGGAGGACCTCAGAGCAGGTGTGGACGGTGTGGGCTTTGGGGCTTGGGTGGCATGTGTAGGTGTGTCCTGATAGAAGAAGCACAGGAGAGGATGAGCTGGGGAGGGAGGAGTGGAATGAGAGCCTCCGATTCTGCATGGAGATCTTGCCAGGGGCACAGGGTTCAGGACAGTTGGTTTTCAGTTGTGTTATCAGTCCCAGGACTCTTAAATTACCCAGCTTCCCCTGTAATGGGGACTGGAGCCCTAGGCCTGGAGGAGGGCCAGCAAGTAGGTACTTGGTGAGTTGTTAAAATAGACATAATAGTGATTAAAAAAACCCTACCCAGGCCCTGCCCCCATTATTCTGCCTCACAAGGCCACTGTTAAGTTATTAGAGTATTTTATGACCTGTAAAGTGTAAGTTATTAGTAATGACTGGATTGATGCTTTAGAAAGTCTCATCTTAGATGCCAGGTCCATATTCTGGAATTTTCTACATGTCTTTAGTGTTTATCAAAGTAACGACCATCAATGGGCCGTTATGTTTTCCTCTGCTGGTAGCGTTCTTTTTCCCCTTCTCTCCCCATTATGTAATTGTAATTTTTACCTTTTCTCTGTACATAATAGAAGAAGCCGAGTTCTTTACTTTCTTGCATCCTTACAGTTTGTTCAAATTTTAGTAATTTTCTTTCTTGGGTGTTTATTATTCAATTAGGACAATTGCTAACAGGAATGTAGTTCACAGTTACTCAAGTAACTCTCATCAACTTGTTTTTTCTTTTTTTTGGCTGAGCCGTTGCTTGCAGGATCTTATTAGTTCCTTGACCAGGGATAGTGTCCATGCCCCTTGAAGTGGAAGTGCGGAGTCCTAACCACTGGACCGCCAGGGAAGTCCCTCATCAAGTTTTTAAAGCACCATATATTAACTAAACTTTTAAAATTCAGCATAGTGGCAGTTTTTCTTTTTTAATTGTTATTTCCCATTTTTATATTAAATGATGCAAAATTTCTTAAAGTATGATAAGAGGTCTGTAATAATACTATCACGCTACCAAGTTAATTTGATGGTTTATTACATTTACATCTACACAGAAAGTTAAAATAGAAATTGAGTACTTGGAATCTAAGAGTTTTAAGTGTATTTTGGTAACACTGATTTTAGGACTTGAATGACACAAGGAAGGGAACCACCTGTTCTGAGTTTCACTAAAATCTGTTTCTTAACATTTTTAGAGGCTTCGTGACGGAGTGATCAGAGACATTGAGAGGCAAAATCGGAAAAAAGAAAATATTCGTCTTTTGGGAGAACAGATTCTTCTGACTGAGCAACTTGAAGCAGAAAGAGAGAAGATGGTGTTGGCAAAAGGATCTCAAAAAACGTGACTTGAAATGCGTGTGAGATATTGATGGAACAGACAGCGTTAAGTGTGTGTGAGTGTTGATGGAGAACAGCTTAGTGCGATCTTCAGCCTTTTTGTGGTCACCGTCCTTTTAAACTTGATCAGAAAAAGGACGATGGATCGTATATTCTAAATAATTGCTTTAAGTGCCCCTTGTGTCTGAGTAGAGTCAGGCAGACGCTCTTCTGAGAGTGTGTTTGTGTGGTCAGCAAGGAGCCCCTTCAAGCTTAGTGTCCAGAAACTGGGATTGTTCCCAAGAGCACTGAACCTGCAAGCCGGGAGGGATGGAGAGTAACATCCATCTGAGCAGTTTGATCAGTCGGCACGACGATGAAGCCACAAGAACGTCCACCTCGGAGGGGCTGGAGGAGGGGGAGGTGGAGGGGGAGACTCTGCTGATCGTCGAGTCAGAGGACCAGGCGTCTGTGGACTTGTCTCACGACCAGAGCGGGGACTCCCTAAACAGTGATGAAGGGGACGTGTCGTGGATGGAGGAGCAGCTGTCCTACTTCTGCGACAAGTGCCAGAAGTGGATCCCAGCCAGTAAGCGCTTCTCCTTTCCTTTCCTTTGTCAATTCCTGCAGGAAGGTTTGTGTTTCTAACCTGTGAGAGAAACATGAATGTGAAAGAGACCCAAATAAAAAGATAACTCCTATATTTATTATTAGTGTAGTTGATTAACTGCAAATTTATATAAAACGTAAACACATTTGTACTAATATATATTACTGCCAACCTCTATCACGTTGTTAAATTAACATTCTCACTTGTAACCCAAATAAAAATTAGAAAATTGGAAATTCTGTGTTACTTAAAGAATTAGCCACATTTTTCTATCAGGGTCACATTATTGTGGTTTTGGGGCCAAATTCTAGGCCCAGTGTAGAGCTAAACTTCAGACTCATAAACATAACTCTGGTAGTGTCTAACTTACATGGAAAACAACTGCTATAGTATGTTGATATAAGGTCGGAATTAGGAGATTAAATATGTATTATGCCTTTTTCTAGGGCCATTCGTGTTTTCTCCTTGCTGGCCTCCTTGATCTGCTGGCCGTATATACACGCAATAAGGTGCTTTGCCAGTCATCAGGCCTCTTAACCAAAACAGGATGTTTCCATTACGTGGAGAGTAGTAAAGACGTATGTACTAGAGGAATACTCTGTGTAATAGAATTTGTAACTAGGTCAGAGAAATTTACGTATGTGTATATGTACATATATTGTTGTGAACTGGGTCATTTTCTGGTATGTGGAGGTGTTTTTAAGATGGATTCATAGTTATTATTAATAAATTAACACCATTTTCACAGAAAGCAAACCTAAAATTTATTATAAGTTAACTAGTTTTTGCTTTCCAGCTGTCTCTGCTTATAGATTCAGGGTTCTGCCTGAAAGCCTGGGTGGCTTTCCCCCATCCTCACAGCCTGTGCTGTAAATGCTCTGCCTCCTGGGGCCCCTGCTAACTGCCCCAGCCTTTCTCCTTCGTGCCCTCCTATCCCCACATGGAAACAGAGCTTTGCAGTTAGGGTGAGCTTTTCCTTCTCCACAAGCAGTTCGTTCTTTTTTTTATAAATTTATTTTATTTATTTATTTTTGGCTGCGTTGGGTCTTTGTTGCTGCACACTGGTTTTCTCTAGTTGTGGTGAGTGGGATCTACTCTTCATTGCAGTGCGAGAGCTTCTCATTGTGGTGGCTTCTCTTGTTGCGGAGCATGGGCTCTAGAGCGCAGGATCAGTAGTTGCGGCGCACGGGCTTAGTTGCTCCACGGCATGTGGAATCTTCCCAGACCAGTGCTCGAACCCGTGTCCCCTGCGTTGACAGGCGGATTCTTAACCGCTGCATCACGAGGGAAGCCCAAGCAGTTCTTTCTTATCCCTAGGACTTTGTGCATGTAAATTTCCTCTGTGGAACACATGTCTCTACAGCCTCTATACTCCCCGCCCCACACACAAACACCTCTTCACGTGCCAATTCTAGCCATCCTTCAGGCCCCCCGTCCACCCCACTTTTTCTAGCGCTGCTGTCTTCCTCATGTGGGTGGGCACCTCTTTTATGTGCTCTCACGTTGCCCCACAGCACCCATCACATCCCTCTCCAGGGTTTCCATGTCTCCCAGAGCATCAGCATCAGCTGGGGAACTTCAGAAAATGCTCTGCTTCCAGAGGTTGATTTATTTTGCGGGCGATAGACCTGGGCATATTTTTTTTTTTTTTTTTAATTTTTAAAAATGTTTTATTGCGGTACGCAGGCCTCTCACTGTTGTGGCCTCTCTCGTTGCGGAGCACAGGCTCCTGATGTGCAGGCTCAGCGGCCATGAATCACGGGCCCAGCCACTCCGCGGCATATGGGATCCTCCCGGACCAGGGCACGAACCCGTGTCCCCTGCATCGGCAGGCGGACTCTCAACCACTGCGCCACCAGGGAAGCCCCTGACCTGGGCATATTTAAAACACAAAACTTCCTGGGTGGTTCTGATGCACAGTCCAGGTGGAGAGCCTCTGTGCTGCTGTGATTACTCTCCCCTCTGTAGCCCTCACCACATCAGTAAGCCTCTGAGAGCCAGCACCGCGTCTGTCTCAGGTGTTGTGTTCCTGGTTCCTAGCCCAGTGGCACAGTGGGAGCTCAGATGTTTCCTTGGAAGAATGTGTGAGGAGACCTCCTGTAGGGGTCGGGAATGTTAACAGTTGGAACAGCCAGTGAGAACAATCCTACCTGCCTTAACAGTGTCTCTTCTGAAAGTCCGGGGACCACAGAGCGATCTTCGTGGGCATGCACTTGATGTTAGAAGAATAAAAACCTTCTCTATTCCCTTCTCCATCCCCATCCTGCCCTCACAGGCTGGCTGAAAGAAAAGGAAAAACACAGCCTGGGAAATTTGGGAAATGGCTGGTAGATTGATGAAAACTTTGGGTTACCTCTGTTCTAGATCCACCTGTGATGTGCCTTTTTGTTTTCCTCCTAGGTCAGCTGAGGGAACAGCTCAGTTACCTTAAGGGTGATAATTTTTTTAGGTTTACTTGTTCTGATTGCTCTGAAGATGGCAAGGAGCAGTATGAGCGGCTGAAGCTGACATGGCAGCAAGTGAGTTAAAGCTCTTTCTCTAGAATTCATGGGGTTGGTCCCCGCCCCGCCCCTGCGAAATTTATTGGAATAAGTAGGGAATGAGGAACCTACATATGAGCTTCTGAGTTGTTTTGAGGGTCACTTTATTTCACAATGAAAATCATACTGAATGTGTGGAGAAAGGAGTTCTTAGTAAAAATACTGCCAACTTAGTGAATTGGGTTTGAGATTCTGAAAATCCCACCCACGGTTTCATTTATACATAATACCAAACTCTGATTTTAATCGAAGAGGTTCACATTTTTTTAGCAGCTATTTTTAGAAAAAAACATTCTAAAAAATATAAAGATGCTGAATCAACATGCTGCACACCTGAAACTAGCAACTAGTTGTATATTGTAGAGCAACTGTACTTAAATTAAAAAAAAAAGTAAAGATGGTCACTGTAATCCCAGCCAACTATAGCCCGAACAGTATCTTTTAACTGATCTCCAGGTTGTATTAATTTTTTGGGTTTTGTTTTTATATTAATATGTTTATAACAAGGCACCAATGTTATATGCAGTCTTTAAGTTCTAAAAATGTATTAGACATCACTCACTCAGTTTTTATGTTTATTCATTCGACAAATATTGAGTGCACATGACGAACCAGGCACTGTTCTAGGCCTGGAGAGTAGAATCTCTTGGAGACCAGCTGATCCTTCTAGCTGTTTCTTCTTTGTGGTGAGTGAGACAGCCAAGACCCTAGCCCCAGGCAGTAGACATTTATTTTAGATGATAGGCAGACAAATAAACAAGTTAATTACCCCTAGCACTTTTTGCTGTGAAGGAAATAAACAGGGTAATGAGAAAGATTTTAGGTTGTACCCTCCAAGGCACTTAGGGTGTTCCTTGTAAATTGTAGCTGTGTTCGCAGCCAGAGGCTATAGTGTTAATTATCAGTGCTTTATTAGGACATCTGTTGAAATCTGTCAGTGGTGATCTTAGGGAGCCTTTTTGGACTTGCCTGAAAATATGTAAGTAGAAAATGAACGGAAGTTTGTATTGAGGATACAGTCTCATGAGTATTCTAACTGGGATTTTTTAAAAAGTGTGCATGGGATACTGTGTCTAGGCAAGGTCAGATTAATATTAGTAGATTATTCTGCATGTGTGCACACGTAGGCAGATTTGCATTTGGCCTGCAGGTAGCTTCTCATAAAATTGTAAAATGGAAGAAGAGCAGATGTATGTAATTTGTTACTTTCAAGACTATGAGTTTTCTGTGGAGATTCTTTTTAAAAGAAAAAGTGGCTTTTGATTATATTGCTCAATATATTGGCAGTATTGGCTCAATTTGCTTTTTTTTTTTTTGGCGGTACGCGAGCCTTTCGCTGCTGTGGCCTCTCCCGTTGCGGAGCACAGGCTCCGGACGCGCAGGCTCAGCGGCCATGGCTCACAGGCCCAGCCGCTCCGCGGCATGTGGGATCTTCCCGGACCAGGGCACGAACCCGTGTCCCCTGCATTGGCAGGCGGACTCTCAACCACTGCGCCACCAGGGAAGCCCTCAATTTGCTTATTTAATCAGACTAACATTTCTTGAAAATTATTTTTTCACTTCCAAAAGACATATGGATAATAAATACCCTGGGATAATGAAGTGAAAACTGGGACCAGACATACCTGGTTCTTGGAAAACTACTGCCCATTGTTTCTAGTTGCATCTCTTTTCCTTTCTCTCTCTCTCCCCCTCCCTTTCTCCCTGTCTCTCCCTCTCTCCCTCTCTCCCTCTCCCTCTCTCTCTCTCCCCCTCTCTCCCTCTCTCTCTTTCTCTCTCTCTCTCCCTCTCTCTCTCTCTGTTTCTCCCTCTCTCTCCCTCTCTCTCCCTCCCCCTCTCCCTCTGTCTCTCTCACGCAAGAGCTAAAAGAGGATCCGTTGGTCTGGAATAGACTCTATTGATGTCATATTCCAATTGGAATGTGGGTTTTCTTTGTTTTAAATCTTAAACTTTGTTGATTTATCAAAATAAGAAGTAGAAATACTTGTTTATATTATAAAATGCCAACAGTAATGGGGTGACTAAAAGGCCCCTTCCACACACTTTCTGTGTCCTCCTCCTCGGTGATGTGTGAACAACAGTCTGAAAAGTAGGGAAGCTATCAAGTAGGGTAGTTTTTACGTTCTTGTCCTAGACACGCTCATTATCTTTCTACATGCTCTTCAGCAGATACTTGGGAGGTGCCCGCTGGGCTGTGCCAGCCTGAGCAAGGCCTTGGAGCTGTGCTGGTTCCCAGGGCCAGCCTGTTACTATGAGCTTGGGCTGGTGGTGTAAGAGCAGAAACGCAACTGGGATTCGTTCTTTAAGATTACAAATTCCAGAAGGGGGAAAACCATGTCCTTCATGATTGGATTTTTAGTTTGCTCAGTAAATATGGTGATAATAGGAAAAGTTATTTGCAAGTAAGTATGTGAATTTTAACTTTCTGAAGTCATGAAATGTTTCCAAAAAAAAAGTACTGGAAATGAAATAACACACTTGTGTCTGTACCACAGAGATTAACAGTGAATACATGTTTCCAAGTTACTCTAGGAGTCTGAGTGGGCAGAAGAGCTCATTCCATCCTTTTCTTAAGGTATTTCTTGAGCAAAAGCGTTCTTAAATTGTAGTAAAATATATGTAACAGGGCTTCCCTGGTGGCGCAGTGGTTAAGAATCCGCCTGCCAATGCAGGGGACATGGATTTGAGCCCTGGTCTGGGAAGATCCCACATGCTGCGGAGCAGCTAAGCCTATCACAACTACTGAGCCTGCGCTCTAGAGCCCGCGAGCCACTACTACTGAGCCCATGTGCTACAACTACTAGAGCCCGTGCTCTTCAGCAAGAGAAGCCACCACAATGAGAAGCCCACGCACCTCAGCGAAGAGTAGCTCCCACTTGTGGCAACTAGAGGAAGCCTGTGCACAGCAACAAAGACACAACGCGGCCAAAAAGAAATTAATAAATTTATAAAAATGTATATATACATAACAAAGCTTACCCTTTCCACCGTCTTTAAGCATACAGTTCAGTGGCATTAAGCACATTCACATTGTTTTGCAACCATCACCACCATCATCTCCAGAAAGTGCTCATCTCCCCAAAGTGAAATCCTGTGTCTATTAAACAACGACTCCCTGTGAACAGTAACTTTAAAGGGAGAGGTTTGTTGGCTGATGCAGACCTGATGCAAAAATGAGTGGAATGATTTGAAAAGTCTGTTCATGGGGTTAATTGGCAGACTGTCTGCAAATTTTACAAGTTTAAGGATGGGGGAAGTTGAGACTTGGTAGGAGCATCAGAATCACCAGGCCCCTTTGAGGGTGTGGTTGTAGGTCTCCCTGTTGGGCCATCGGGATTTGGGGCTGTGAACATCGATGTCGGGGAACGTGAACTGCAGTCTGTTAGACCCTGTACAGCCTTGGGCTACTCCTCATGGAAAGAAGAGTTATGGAAGGATTCTCTTCGTAGGTTCTGCCCCCTTTTCAATTGTGCTGGCCCAAAATTAATCATTACTTTTATTAGGTTGAAAACATGGTTTTGAATAGCATATGTAGTTTCTTATCCATTTATGATTACAAAATTGCGTTTAGATGCGAAGAGAAATGTCTAATAGGGTAATCACTGAAAATGTTAAGAAGGATTATTTCTTGATGGTGGATTTAAAATGATTTTTACTTCCTTCTTTGCTCTTTTCTCTTTTAGTGAAGTCTTTTACAGTGAGACTGTGTTATTCATATTTCTGCAAAGTACTTTCCCATTTGGGGCTGTGAATTCATTATCTGTTAAATACAAAGTTGGATTAGATGTGGAGCTGGGGGTGTCCTCCTCTCTGAGGATGGGCCAGGCAGCCAGGCCTTTCAGGTCCCTGCCCCTTGTCTATTCTGATTTCATCTCAGGAACAGTTTCCACAGCTGAGAAAGGCTAAACCCAGAGTGGATGGTACCTCACGTTAACTTCAGCTCTGAAATTCTGAGAGTCTATTGTTTCTGCCCTCTAAAGAGCTTAGAAAAGTATGTGTGCAGGGGTGATGCTTGGAATATTTAGTAAAGGTCAGCACTGTCCATCAGAAATGCCGGCTGGAGCAGGCCCTGTGGCCTCCTGATGCCATTGGTTAACACGGTGTTTAGCGCTGCCTTTGAGTGGTGGAGGGGGACTGGGATGGGGGCTGCTTAGGGCAGTAGTTACTCTTCACCAGTTCAGCCACACAGCAGCCTTGCACATGTAACATGGGAGGAACAAGTGCACGTGATTAAGGGGAACAGTGATGCTCATCTATGGAAAGCAAAAAAGGAAGTAGAATTCTATCCTGAGAATATTCCAAGATATTATCCTTCCTTTTCCCCCCTCTATTCATACTCAGAGTATAAAACAACACACGTTCCCCCCTGAAGTTTACCATCCCTGTCTGTGCCTTTCTCCCAGCCTATTCTGCTTCTGTTTCAGGTGGTCATGCTGGCGATGTACAACTTGTCCCTGGAAGGTAGTGGGCGTCAGGGCTATTTCCGGTGGAAAGAAGACATCTGCGCTTTCATTGAGAAACATTGGACTTTTTTGCTTGGGAATAGGTAATGTGATTTTTAAAAAATCTTATACTTGAATGAAGATGTAAAGAATAAAGTATATGAGACTTGAGACAGCCTAATGCTGGCCTTTAGAGAATTAGAGTAATTACTTGTGGCAGTTACTGAGAATTTTTTAATCCAGAAAATGTTGTTACTTTAAGTTAAAAATCGAAGTAGAAGTTTACATAATGACAAGGGTAGGTTTCCATACTTCCTATCCTACTTTCGGAGGAAACTGTTGGTTTCTACTGAGCAGGAAGACAGTTGAACAGATTGTTAGAATGTTAAAAAAATAGAGACTTTGATTAAATGAGGCAGTTTAATAGTTGGATAGGTGACTAATTTGAGGATAGAGGAATATTATGTCCTTTAAAATCAGTGCCTTGTAGGAGGTCAGAAGACGAGAAATGATGGCAGTTATTGACTGCACTCATTTAAGTTGCTCTTGGTTGATTATTAGTATTTGTGTTTATTAACTGTGGGAGGTAGAAATCATTGTATACTGTTTGGTATTCACAGTGCTTGGCCAAGTCTGGGCACATTAACACGCATATGGTTTATTCCTTTGATACTCTTTTCATCATGATGCTTTGAATTTGCTGCTGAGTGCTTTTCTGTGACCCCTCCTTGGTTCATCAGACTTAGGGGTGCCGGGGCACAGACATACACACCAGATGTTTTAACTAAGGGTCCATGTGCATCTAGCAAGATTTTTATTGCTGTTAGAGGTTAGCAAGTTTGCAGTTGCATTGGCGGATTGTTTGAGATTCTTTCTTTAAAAAAAAAAATGTATTTATTTATTTGGCTGTGCTGGATCTTAGTTGCGGCATGCGGACTCTTAGTTGTGGTATGTGGGATCTAGTTCCCTGACCAGGGATTGAACCCGGGCCCCCTGCATTGGGAGCATGGAGTTTTAACCACTGGACCACTAGGGAAGTAGTGTTTGAAATTCTGATTGTTAGTTGCCTTCTGAAGTCCTGTGTGAGATTCATAAATCTTGCATAATTGGGTCGGTGTGGACACGATAAAGGTCAGAGCAGGGAGTTTGTGCTTGTCCTCACTCGGAACTCCTTGCAGCCCGTTTTCTCGGGTGCTGAAAAGTCACAGCTCTGCCAAAGTTGCTGAGGAATCATGGAGGGGTGACCTTCTGCAGGCTGCTGTGAGGGAAAAATAGAATTGAAAAATAGAACTAAGAAAAGAATTGACAGCATAACTGGTTCTTTTTCTTGAAAGGAAATGTCTTAGTTTAATGATTTAGCTCTATTTATGGAACTTAATACACCCCATTTATAAGGGACAAGGAAGGGAAAAAAACTGATAAAATTAGATCTTGGAACGTTTTCATGATCTTTCAGTGCTGTTCTGCCTGGTGGATTGTCTTCTGGAAGAAGTTGGATTTAAATTGCCTGTTTTAAGGAAGTTGGCGTATTTTAGCAGCAGGTGTTCAGTTTCATTTGTTCATTTCTAGAGCGTGTTCTGAGAGGCATCAGCTGAGGCTCTTTTTCTTTTCAATACTTCTACTGAAAGACATTAATTACTCTCCAGCTTCTTGTAATTTAACCATTAAACTAGTGGGTTTTGGCCATATTAGTGTATCACTTGAATTATCGTTTACTTATTTAAATCAAGTCACTGAAAAAAAAGAAACTTCACACCACCATGGTAAGTGGAAAACCTATATCACTTATATAAATAGAATGAAACTGTAAAAATAAGTGCACTAAAAATAAAGCAATGCTATTGACTTGTAGCTAGATCCCATGACCTGTAAAGGCAATCTGAAACACTCTTTCTTTTTTTTATCATATGATACCATCTATATATTGTTTTCATCCAGGTGTATTGATATGTAATTGACATACAGCACTTGTATGAGTTTAAGGTGTACAGCATAATGATTTGACTTACATACATCATGAAATGATGACCAGAAAGTTTAATGAACATCCATCATCTCATATAGATATAAAATTAAATAAATAAAATAAATAAAAAATTTTTTTCCTGTGATAAGACCTCTTAGGATTTACTCTCGACAGCTTTCCTGTATAACATTCAGCAGTGTTAATTATATTTATCACGTTGTACAGTACATCCCTAGTACTTATTTATCTTATAATGGGACGTTTATCCCCCCACCTCTGGAAAATCTGATGTCTTTTTCTATGAGTTTGTTTTTGAAGTATAATTGATCTACAACCTACATTTGTTTCTGTTACACAACACAGTGATTCAGTATTTCCATATGTTTCAAAATGATCACCATGGTACGTCTAGTTACCATACGTTACCATACAAAGATACTACATAATTATTGACTGTTTTTCCTACATTATACATTTTATACCTGTGACTTATTTATTTTGCAACTGGAAGTTTGTACTTCTTAATTTCCCTCACCTATTTCTACCCTCTCCCCACTCTCCTCCCCTCTTGCAAGCACCTGTTTGTTCTCTGTATCTGTGACTGTTGCTGTTCTGTTATGTTTCTTCATTTGTTTCTTTTTTCGGCTTCCACATAACTGAAATCATACAGTATTTGTCTTTCTCTGACTTATTTCACATAATACCCTTAGCATAATACCCTCTAGGTCCATACATGTTGTCACAGATGGCAAGATTTCATTCTTTTTTATAGCTGAATAATATCCAATTGTGTATGTGTGTGTATCACATCTTTTTTTTTTCACATCTTTATTGGAGTATTATTGCTTTACAATGTTATGTAAGTTTCAGCTCTATAACAAAGTAAATCAGCTATATGTATACATATATCCCCATATCCCCTCCCTCTTGCGTCTCCCTCCCACCCCTCTAGGTGGTCACAAAGCACTGAGCTGATCTCCCTGTGCTATGCAGCTGCTTCCTGCTAGCTATCTATTTTACATTTGAGAGTGTATATATGTCAGTGCTACTCTCTCACTTCATCCCAGCTTCCCGTTCCCACTCCCCGTGTCCTCAAGTCCATTCTCTACGTCTGCGTCTTTATTCCTGTCCTGCCTCTAGGTTCATCAGAACCTTTTTTTTTTTTTGGATTCCATATATATGTGTTAGCATACGGTATTTGTTTTTCTCTTTCTGACTTACTTCACTCTGTATGACAGACTCTAGGTCCGTCTACCTCACTACAAATAACTCAGTTTCATTTTTTCTTATGGCTGAGTAACTATTGTATATCTGTGCCACATCTTCTTTATCCATTTATCTGTCAGTGGACATTTAGGTTGCTTCCATATCCTGGCTACTGTAAATAGTGCTGCAGTGAACATTGTGGTACATGATTCTTTTTGAATTATGGTTTTCTCAGGGTATATGCCCAGTAGTAGGATTGCTGGGTCAAATAGTAGTTCTACTTTTAGTTTTTTAAGGAACTTCCATACTGTTCTTCGTAGTGGTTGTATCAATTTACATTCCCACCAACAGTGCAAGAGGGTTCCATTTCCTCCACACCCTCTCCAGCATTTATTGTTTGTAGATTTTTTGGTGATGGCCATTCTGACCGGTGTGAGGTGATACCTCATTGTAGTTTTGATTTGCATTTCTCTAATGATTAGTGATGTTGAGCATCCTTTCATGTGTTTGTTGGCAATCTATATCTTCTTTGGAGAAATGTCTGTTTAGATCTTCTGCCTATTTTTGGATTGGGTTGTTTGTTTTTTTTGATATTGACTTGCATGAGCTGCTTGTATATTTTGGAGGTTAATCCTTTGTCAGTTGCTTGGTTTGCAAATATTTTCTCCCATTCTGAGGGTTGTCTTTTGGTCTTGTTTATGGTTTCCTTTGCTGTGCAAAAGCTTTTAAGTTTCATTAGGTCCCATTTGTTTGTTTTTATTTCTATTTCTCTAGGAGGTGGGTCAAAAAGGATCTTGCTGTGATTTATGTCAAAGAGTGTTCTTCCTATGTTTTCCTCTAAGAGTTTCTTTTTTAATTAATTAATTAATTTATTTTTGGCTGTGTTGGGTCTTTGTTACTGCATGTGGGCTTTCTCTGGTTGCAGTGAGAGGGGGCTACGCTTCATTGCAGTGCACGGGCTTCTCATTTCAGTGGCTTCTCATTGAGCATGGGCTCTAGGGTGTGTGGGTTTCAGTAGTTGTGGCTCGCGGGCTGTAGAGCGCATGCTCAGTAGTTGTGGCACACGGGCTTAGTTGCTCCATGGCATGTGGGATCTTGCCTGACCAGGGCTCGAACCCGTGTCTCCTGCATTGGCAGGCAGATTCTTAACAACTGTGCCACCAGGGAAGTCCCTTCTAAGAGTTTTTTTACTGTCTGGCCATACATTTCGGTCTTTAATTCATTTTGAGTTTATTTTTGTGTATGGTGTTAGGAAGTGTTCTAATTTCATTCTTTTACATGTAGCTGTCCAGTTTTCCCAGCACCATTTACTGAAGAGGCTGTCTTTTCGCCATTGTATGTTTTTGCCTCCTTTATCAAAGATAAGATGACCATAGGTGCGTGGGTGTATCTTTGGGCTTTCTGTCTTGTTCCATTGATCTATATTTCTGTTTTTGTGCCAGTACCATACTGTCTTGATTACTGTAGCTTTGTAGTGTAGTCTGAAGTCAGGGAGGCTGATTCCTCCAGCTCTGTTTTTCTTTCTCAAGATTGCTTTGGCCATTTGGGGTCTTTTGTATTTCCATACAAATTGTAAAATTTTTTTGTTCTAGTTCTGTGACAAATACCATTGGTAGTTTGATAGGGATTGCATTGAATCTGTAGATTGCTTTGGGCCGTATAGTCATTTTCACAGCGTTGATTCTTCCAATCCAAGAACATGGTATATCTCTCCATCTGTTTGTATTGTCTTTGATTTCTTTTATCAGTGTCTTATAGTTTTCTGCATATAGGCCTTTCTCCTTAGGTAGGTTTATCTCTAGGTATTTTATTCTTTTTGTTGCAATGGTAAGTGGGAGTGTTTCCTTAATTTCTCTCTCAAATTTTTCAATGTTATTGTATAGGAATGTGAGAGATTTCTGTGCATTAATTTTGTATCCTGCTACTTTACCA